ACATGGTGGTGGTGGTGTGTGCGTGTGTGTGTGTGTGTGTGTGTAGCTTCCAACACTGCTGGAAGAATTACATGACATGGTGGTGGTGGTGTGTGTGCGTGCGTGTGTGTGTGTGTAGCTTCCAACACTGCTGGAAGAATTACATGACATGGTGGTGGTGGTGGTGGTGTGTGTAGCTTCCAACATTGCTGGAAGAACTACACGAGATGGTGAACGTGGTGGTGTGTGCGCGGGTGTGCGCGTGTGCGCTTGTGTGTGTGTATGTGTGTGTGTGTGTGCAGTCAGGGAGAGGGCCCGTGGTCGGACTCCTGTCAGGTGGCGACGCCATCAGTGGGTGTTGCTGTTGCTGCCAGTGTCTAAGTCTTCCTTATCGTCAGCCTCAGAAAGACCACAACAAAACTCTCATAAGAAATGAATTTTTAACTCCTTCAGAGCTTTTCTTTCCCTAGAGAAAGAAATGCCGTGAGATCCAAAGTACACAGAGTACCACAACTCTTCAAAGTCGGGAACTGATTTAATCATTTGCAAACCTTTACCAGCCACCTACTATGTTGTAGCAATTGCAGGAATCACTGTGCTAAATAATAAAAAAGGAGAATAAAGATTTTGGCTTTAATAAAACATTGTTGTTGGCAAGAACACTTGGCCTGTGTTCACTCACCCCAGGTAACAGAAGTTTCTAAGAATACAGTTCAAGAAACAAGAGCACACTTTGTTCCGAGGTTTTATAATGCAAATTAGAGCCTCATGCAGATGAGGCTGAGCTGCTGTTGAGGGCTACAGCTTCTGCAGGAGAATTTTAATTTGGTTCCAATGTGCAGGGAACTCTCCTATCATTTTCCCTTCTCAGGATTTGATGCACATCTACAGTGGGCAAAGCACTGCCAGCTGATTAAATAACACACGTTAATATTCGTTAGGAAATTCTTTTTTTTAAAGGAAGTCAGGGAAACATTCTTCGTAACTTCAAAGTCAGACAATCTCAGAGGAAGGTCTACAGTTATCTCCACTTCACATCAGAGGAGAAAAAAGCAAATGTCCCCACCAACTGTGGCGGCTTATTCTTGGGGGCGTGCCTTTTCAGGCTCTTGCTTAACTCTCTGACCCCGAAGAGGCCCTTTTACCAACCCAGAATCTAAACGCTGTTTCTGCTATTTCTGATGCCATGCTGAAGAACAGGAATGAAAAGGCAATATTCTTTGGGGTTCTGATCTTAACTTTCTGTCTGTCTGTCTGTCACTGTATCTACCCAGCCGGAGCCGACGCGATGGCTACCTACCATGGCAACATAGCAACTTAAAAGTACCTAATTTTAAGGACAGCGAATTTCAGAACGCTGTGCTACAGGCTACCATCCATCTTCATTTCTAGCGTTAGCCCAACACCTAGGGCTTGCTGGCACTGAGATCTTTATAATAAGCAACGTTCTGCGTTCAGAGGCGAAGTTGGGTACAGTTTCATTATCAGGTAGTTTGATGTGGAACCCGGTATCAGAAGATGTGAAAGTCAAACTGGAAAAAAATTGTGCTTACCTTTAAAAATTCAAGAAAAGCCGGCTTGGTAGCACATGTTTTCTTGAGGACTGCCACGGCTGTGCTAAAATTGTTCACGTATTCACTATAAGCATCCAGTACCATGGATTTAGAAAACTGAAATGCAGGAGGGAGTTGAGAAATATTAATAATGTGTGGAGTCCAAATGCTCCTTTTTCCAATTTAAAATAAAGAAATCATTGGAAGCCTGCCCTAGAAATAAACTTTAAACCACTTGATGTTCTAATCCGATAAACTTTATCATGACTGTGTATGTGTGTGTGTGTGTGTGTGTGTGTGTGTGTGTCTGTGTGTGTTAGGAATTGGTTAAATGGCTGGTTGAAGCTCATTTTGCTGATCCCAGTCCACTTCTGGAGCCCCTAGGTGGAACAAACGGTTAGCATGCTCAGCTGCTCACCAAAAGATTGGAGGTTCGAGTCCACGGAGAGGTGCCTCAGAAGAAAGGTCTGGTGATCTACTTCTGAAAATGTAGCACTGAAAACCCTATGGAGCACAGTTTCTGCTCTGACAAGACGCAGAGCTGCCATGAGTCGGAGCTGACTCGACAGCAAGCTGTACAATGCACTGTTAGGCGTCACTGTGGGCTTCAGTGAAGAAACGTTCCTGACTATAAGACTTACAAAGAAGATGACAAGTGTTCTCCTTTAAATTCCTGCTCAGCTTCATTTGCTGGATTCCACCTCAAGGCAAGAATTACATGTGCCTCTTTACATGGCGGTCACAGTATCTTTGCAATCACAGGCGTTAACCATTCTCTGGAAATGTACCAGGAAAGAAAGACCACGGACCCCCTCCCTGCTTCTCCAGCTTAGGTAAAGTGTCTTTCGTGTTCATTTTCCTAAAAAGACAAATGTTTCAAGAGGCAGAAACTTTTGTCCTTGGTATCAGCTTCCAAAGAGAGGAACAATTATTCCGTCTTGTTCTTCTAATATTCCACACATCCTCTAGAACCGACGGAATACCCCTAAGTACAGATCTGCTGTGACTATCGCTTACGGAAGAAATGGGTTCATCCACATCATACATAGTTTTAAAAAGGTGCTTTAATTTTTAAAAAATGTTCTCAAGGTAAATATTTTAAGAAGAGGGATATAATGAAAGTTGAAGTGAAATACAAAATAGAAAATTCAAGAACAAAAAACATCATATTTAAATATCCAACATTTCTTTTTTTATAAAGATCCTTGAAAGGTATTATGCAAATAAATATTTTAGTCATAAGTTTGTTTCCATGCTATGTTCAAAGCATCCTATAATTTCTACACTTCACCAAGCACATACACAAAGTATATATAAAAAAGGTGTCCTACGACATTATTACAGCATTCATTTATGTAAATGAACACTTTTTAAAAGTAAACTTTTAAGCTTATAGCCCTTTGACAACATTATCATCTTAAATCAACTATAAAATCCGATTTGTTATACCCATAATTTTCTAATCTAGATAAAAATATAACCAATATGCCGTCCATAAATAGACTCCATACTGCCGATGCAGACACTTGGTGCTGATATTGTCCAGGCAGCTAACCATCTCTTCTGCCAGGAAATGTTAATACAACGATTCACTTGTGCTCTGGGTTGCATCGGCACGCATTCCATTAAATCTTGTGTCACAGTTTGGGGCTGAAAGACTGTATCTATACGACATAGGACTCTATATCAGAGAGTAAAAATGTGAGATAAACAGCTAGATATTTTCCAGTAACATGTTTTCATTGTTACCAGGCAAGGAGACCTATGCTCACAGAAAGTGAACTACGTTTTATAAAGGGATAGAGAGCCTAATTAATGTAAGGAAGTTTAAATATGAACATTCTACAATATCATTAGACAAGCACGGCCTAGCTCAGAATCAAAAAGCATTATTAAATTTTATAATGATGTATCCAAAACTTGATCAAGTATCTATTTAAAACATTTTTTTTTTAAATATATCTTTTCCCCTAAGCGTCTGGATATTTATCTTGGTCTCCCTGGTAAACATCCAATTGAACCCGAAACAGCGTAACGATCATTTTCTCTAACATATGTACTTTGCCCACGGCAGTGTGACGTCACACTGGTCTAGAGAGAGAACCAGCTACTTGCCAGCTTACAAGCTTTTCTGGAAAGCAGCACTGAGCCCACTGACGTGAGCACACAGACAACTCTACAGAATAGTTGCTGCACGAGCTTAATTACCGAAGCAACGAAGACATCACCAATCATTTCAACAGAATCCCACTCAGATACTCGGCTGGCCAGGGCTATCTGGAACATGGAATGGCACTGCAGGATTTCTTTAATTCGATAAAACACCATCTTTAGCTTCCTTTCACTCAGAATCTTTGGCTCCATCTCAGACAGTGGTTTCTCATATTGCTAAGACAAAAATAAATCAAGATGGGACAGACATTTATAAAGGGTAGGGAAAAGAATATTGATGTAAAAAATTGTTTGCAGAATCTTTATGCAAATCCTATTTATTTCGGAACAAATTAGGACTTTTGATGTCAATCCATATATCCACTCACTCACTGCCGTCAAGTTGATTCCAACTCATAGCGACCCTGTAGGACAGAGTAGAACTGCCCCACAGGGTTTCCAAGGCTGTCATCTTTACGGAAGCAGACGGCCACATCTTTCTCCCTTAGAGAGGCTAGTGGGTTAGTAAACAAGCACTTTAACCACTGCGCCACCAGGGCCCCTTAACACATAGACACAATGCTTATATTCTTTTGAGAATTTTGCAAATTTACATATTTTAATGATTCATAAGTATATAGACATACAAGCATATATGTAACAAAAGATATATAAATGTAAAAATGGTTCTCTCTAAATATCTACATATATAAAATACATAAGTGCCATCTGAGTACCTCCAAAATCCTCTTAAGAGCATCTACGTAGTTCTTCTCACTGTCGACAACTGAACCCAGAATGTATCTCCTTACAACCTGTTGGAAATTTGAAAATACTATGGCAGAAAACTGCTTCAGAATACGTACAGATACATTTTACTTGCGTGTTGAGGCTTGTCAGTAAAGAAGCTATTTTTTCCCCAAAATAGTAGGTAAACTCCCAAGTCTTTTAAAATATTTTAAATGGTATTAATAGCATTACAGATGTAAAACACACTTCCCTCCCTCACCAGGATTATATTATTTTTAAAACCTCAAATTATAAATTATATCTACAGCAGGTAAAGTAAAATTCTAGGATTAAAAATAAATGCGTTCACTTATTAACAAGCATGTTGTTGTTGCCACTGAGTCAACTCTGACTCACAGCGACCCTACGGGACGGAGGAGGACTGCCCCGGAGGGCTTCCAAGGCTATAATCTTTACAGGCGCAGATGGCCAGGTCATTCTCCCAAGGAGCGGCTAGTGGGTTCAAACCACCAACCTTTTGGTTAGCAGCCCAGCACTTAACTACTATGCCACCAGGGCTCCCTGTAATAAGCATAACAGAATTTATTTTATGTGCTGAAGGCTAAGCAAAATGATATTTCAAGTATAAACTCGGTATAAATATTAGTTCCAGTCTTGACTCAAAGAATATTATTAGCAACAGTTATCTGAAATCATTACTCCAAAAGTTACAGAAAAACAAAAAGCTTTTGGAAAGTGAAGGAATAGCTTTGTTTTGTTTTTGCAAAGATTTTTTGACCATGCAAAGGTACACTTACCTACAAGTCAAGGGTATAATGAGTAACTTACTAACAACATTGAGAGGTGCAAAAACACCTCTATAATTTGCGATATTTGCATTTCAAATGCTGGCATTGTCTTTTGTTCTGTTTTTTCATTACTGAAGTACATACAACAACAAACTTCTGGTTATATGAAGTCTGTTAAAGGATAATGATAATCGGCACTTTCATCAAATCTAAACACATTTTGGCAATTTACTATTGCAAATAAATGGAAAATAAAGCATAGTATTACAACAGCATTGCTTCTAAACTACACACGCATGCACACACACACACACCCCCCCCAGAATATTTCCATGACCAAGTATTTCTTCTAACAGGCAATCAGCACTGAGAGAATACCATTTAAAGAAACTGCAATGCCACCTCGTGGGTAAAGAGAGAATTTTCCACAAAAGAAATTTCTCCAGTTATGAAAATTCCAGGGGCAACCAAGATTTACAAAACATCATTAACAAGGGAGTGGTTATTTTCTTTATAAAAAGAATTATTCAATTTAAAAAAGTAAAACAAAAATTGGATCTTCTAGGATACTTAAGAAAATGATGTATTAAAAAATGTAAATGTGGCTGGGATTAAAAAAGAAAATACAACACTGGATGCCAGGAAGGGTAAGATTGTCACCATCTACGTGACCTTGGTCAATTCACTAAAACCATCTGACCACAGACACTTCATCTCTAAAATGAGGTGTTAGCCCCTTGGTGAGTAAGTGAGCCCCAAACAGGCTGATCATCAGAATCTAGGATATTCCTTTTTTTCCAAAATTCAGATTCCCAGACACTACCCCATGTTTCCTGAGTCAGAACTGAGGTCAAGCCTAAGGATTCATATATTAAAAAAACAAACCAAATTCCTGAGATGAGACTATTGTAACAGGCTAAAGGCCTGGAATTGGTAGGAAACCATTCTTCTGACAAACAAACAAAACAATAAATCTCTTGGGTTTTATGGCTACCGGATGAGAAGTCGGCCTTTTTCAGATAGTTAGATTCAACATAGAAACAGCAAGTTCAAGAGAGGGAGGGGAGTGGGGAGGTTTCTATGTTGGCAGTCTTCTTTAGAACCACTCCAGCGGCAGCGGTTACAGAGCAGAAGTCAACGCTGAAACATGCTTCTCTGTCAAAGCTACTGAACAAACTGGGAGAGGTGGGCCCCCGGTGGGTAAGAGCGTGAAGGTCACGTGGCTGCTGGAGCGAGCTGGAGGGAAGGATGCGGTGAGCCAGACGGCAGGAGAAGGTCTGGCCTCTTACCGTGGCCTGAACTGGCAGAGGCTCCGCCGATGGTTTCCATGGCAGACAAGGGGCGGGAGTTGACCCGAGCCTAGCTGCCACCCCACTATACGACCTCCAGGCAGACTGACAGCACAGAATCCTTTGTTCATCAGCATCAATGGCCACTTTTCAAACACACGACAACCCATGAAATACAAGACGGCTTCCTAATTTCCCCATACAGAGCGTGAAAAGAATGCTTGATATGCAGCATTTTCCATTAGCTATGTTACCTCGTGTCAGTTTTAGAAGAAAAACTAATAGCAACACCTCCAGTTTAACCTTTCAAGAGAAAACTCACACGGAGAACAAACACAGTTGTCAGTGGGGAAAAAATAATCTATGTGAATCATAACTATAAGAAAAGAAAGCTAGATGGAAAAATACAGAAATCCAGAAACTAAGTTTTTGAAATAATAACTCCAGCTGTCATTTATTTACTGCTGGTGGTGCTATGGGAGTAGACCATGCAAAGCCCCTCATACACACAGAATTTGGCATCAGATTTAGATAAGAAATCTGATTTTACACTCCTAGCGGTGTGATTAAAAAAAAAAGTGTGGATGTCACTTTGAGGACTATGGTGCACCTGACCCAAGCCATGGGTATCTTCAATCGCCTCGTATGCATGTGAAAGCTGGACAATGAATAAGGAAGACTGAAGAATTGATGCCTTTGAACTATGGTGTTGGCAAAGAATACCAAATATACCATGGACTGCCAGAAGAATGAACAAGTTTGTCAAGGAAGAAGTACAGCCAGAATGCTCTGTAGAAACAAGGATGGTGAGACTTCATCTCACTTATTTTGGACCTGTTATCAGGAGGGACCAGTCCTTGAGGACATCATTCTCGGTAAAGCAGAGGGTCAGCAAAAAAGAGGAAGACCCTCAACGAGATGGACTGACACAGTAGCTACAACAATCGGTTCAAACATAGCAACGATTGTGAGGATGGCACGGGACCAGGCAGTGTTCCCTTCTGTCGTACACAGAGTCACTATGAGTTGGAACTGACTCATTGGCACCTAACAACAACAAGCTATACGATACCATTCAGATTATTTAGCTTCTCTGAGCCTCAGTTTCCATATCTGTAAAATGTATACTGTCATCAAGGGAAATTTTCGAGGATTAAATTTCAATGAAGGATATTAAGCAGTAGGCCTGGTGGCTGGCAGAGAGTATGCCCCCAGTAAGTGGTTGTTACCATAATTACTGCTTCCAAAGCTCTGTCTGTATCTCAGCACCTCATACACGGGCAGCCAAGTCCTTTCTTTTCACTTCCCAATACCACTAACAAACCGAACCACTTCATTTATCTCAGCTTTTTTCTTATTAATTTTGACACTGCTCCTTTGATGACCTCTTCAACTCAAATGAAATTCAAGCTTCCTGTTTTGGCCTGACTAATTATTAACAGCCCCTAGGTATCCTTTGCAATTTAGATTTTTAAACTGTTTTTTAGACTCTGACCTTACTTCCAAGCATTTTTATATTGCTTTTCTTTTACCTATCTTCTACCAACTCTGTCTCCAAGATTGGCATCATGCTACCCACAGGGAAAAGAACTCAAATCTCATCCCCAAACATCAACGCCTCCCCTTTGAAATCCCACAAACTCTGCTGTCCTGCTCTTGTTCCTCAAGCCTTCTTTTCCTTTTACCCAAAGATACATGGAAACTGCTGGAATTCTGCCCCTTGGTACCTATTATTATAATTTAAGAAATACATTTATATGCAAGTCATTTCATTAGTTATTGAAAATCTACGGTTTTCACTGCAGTCTTATATACCTATGTACACGTACATACTTAACACACACCCACGTACACTCTCTTTGTAAAGAAGTCATGTAAGTATGAATGCAAATAACTGTTCACAAAGGATACAAGTTCCACACATTTATCACGATTACACTGAGGGGTGATATTAGGACTATCTAACAATCAGGATGGCCTGAGCACAGGCCACAGCTGGGGACCAGGGTCCTGATGACGCCCTGCTGTGTCCGATGTTAACCCCTTGATTGCTGGAGGCACAAGGAAAGTCCAGCGGAGGGGCCAAGACAGACAGGCTGCCAGGGAGTTTGGAACAGCAGGTATTTACCAAATATCACCAGATAGTCAAACATTCTCACACCCGGCACAGCTGTCCCGGTAACAAAGCACCTGAGGATCAGTCCTGCTCACACTACCTGCTGCTGAGATAAACCTTCGGGCATCGGGGTCATGACGGCTTCCGGGTGCTTGCAGTCAAAATCGATAAATAAGCTTTGCTCTTCTTCAAGACAAGATCTGTGATCTTAAAAACAGTTAAAATGTACTAGTTTTAAATTGAAATAATATATTCATAACAGCATAGTAAAATAAGACGTCAAATAAACGCTTTGTGTACATATTTCAACTTTACATATTTACTTACCACCCATCAACTAGTAAGTTGAAACTTCAACAAATCCAATTAAAATATCCTTCCCACAAGAGTAACGCAGTGTTTGTCAATATTTAAAAGTTTTCAGTACATGAAACATAATTTCAGAGTGTAGCGGTGTCATCTGAATAGCAATACATCTTAAAATTTTCTTAATCTATAAATATCGAAAATATCTATATAATATCGAAAGCAAAGAATGGTAGCTAAGAATGGCTAGGAATGAAAACTCAGATTCAGTAAACAGTGCAAACTAAGGTGGGACTTAGTGGCTATCTGTATGCTTCTCTCACCTGAAGTCTGAAAAGGCAAAGCGCCACATTCAAAAGTTTAGAAAAAAATTAAATTCATTTTTAAAAATCAAAAAAACAAACAAACTACTGTTGGGTTGATTGTGAGTCATGGCGACCCCATGTGTTTCAGAGTAGAACTGTGCTCCAGAGTCTTCAATGGCTGTGACCTTTCAGGAGTAGACCAAACGCCTTTCCTCTGCGGAGCCTACAAGTGGGTTTGAAGTGCCAACCTTTCCGATAGAAGCTGAACACTTAACTGTCTGCATACCCAGGGACCTTTTAAAAACCTGTTCTTTACCATCCAGCGGATTCTGACTCGTAGTGACCCCTGTTGTTGTTGCCGTGTGCTGTTGAGTCGATTTCAACTCACAGCGACCCCACGTGACAGAGGAGAATTGCCCCATAGCATTTCCTAGGCTGTTATCTTTATGGAAGCAAATCGCCAGGTCTTTTCTTCCATGGAGCGGCTGGTGGGTTCTAACCGCTGACCTTTCGGTTAGCAGCCGAGCTCTTGACCACTGCGCCACCAGGGCTCCACAGGGACCCCTAAGAAACACCACAACAAACAACCCATTGCCATTGGTCAATTCCAACTCACAGCGACCCTACAGGAGAGCGGAACTGCCCCATAGGGTTTCCAAGGAGCGGCTGGTGGATTAGAACTGCAGACCTTTTGTTAGCAGCCGTAGCACTTAACCACTATGACACGAGGGTTTCTGCAGTGACCCCTAGACCCAGCTAAATACATTAAGCAATATGTTCAAATCATAAAACGGCTGAAAATCAGATAAGCACAGAAATTTATCGGCTCCCAAGAAGGAACAAGGATTATGACTGCGGACATGAGGAAAAACTTTCTGGAGATGGTGTTTAC